AGGGCCCTGTAACCGAGCAAAACAGAGTTCGGGCCAAGCGCAGACACCTGTGAATTTTGTCTGTAAGCTTGGCTGGGGGGCAGGGGGGCTTTGACTAGATTCCTTTCAGTAGCCCTGAGGTCCCTCCCTCCCGGGGAGGGGGCCACACAGGCTTAGAGACCCCAGGCCCCGGGCCCTAACCCCTTGGGATGTCAGGAAGGGTAGGGTGTCCAGAAGGACTGGGTCTGGGGCTCATCTCACCCACACGCCAGCCACACCCAGAGACCCCTTCCTTCCAAAGATGGGTGCATTCTTACCCACCGCCTGGGGCCGTGTGGTCTGCAGCAACCAGCTGGGTGTTATGTAGATCAAAGCACAGCAGGGCCCAGGCCCAGTGCGTATACTCTCGTCTCCTGTCCCGTGTTATAGACGTAGAAAGCGTGGCTCGGGGGGTCCGTGGCTTGCTCTCGGTCCCAGAGCGAGCTGGGTGAGACCCTGGGCTCTCCTGGCCGCGGAGGCCCATTTTCTGGAAATGCCAAGGCTGGCAGTCTCTGGGGCCAGCCTGGGCCCCCGTGCCCGCTCCGGGCCCCTGAACCATTTCGCCCAGAAACCCCACTGCCTTTCCTCCGCCTCTCCAAATCCTGCCCCAGCGGCAAAGTGTGTGAAAATTATGGATAGAGCAGGTGTCTTTGACCCAGCCGTCCCCCTCTGAGTGTGCTCCCCCGAAAGGACAAAACCCCCCAAAGCAGGCTTATGGGAGGCCTTTCTGTTATGAACTGGAAACGAGCCAATGTGTATCACTGATGAATTAAGTCGGAGCGGTGATATTTAGAGGGCCTCACTGCCTGCCAGGAGTGGCTGCAAGAACTTTACAGCCACTGACCCTTCGGTCCTCCCAAAGCTGTACGGCAGTAGGTAATAGAATTTCCACTTCACGGACGAGGACACTAGGCGGGCTAGGGGTTCAGCTGGGTCACACAGTGGGGACGGGCCGAGCCCAGGCAGCCTGGCTCACTCCTGCCCCCCCCCCCCGCCGCCCCGCACTGTACCCCTTGGCCACACCACGTGCACCCGTGGACGTGCACAGGAATGGAGTTTGCAGGAACCGTGGTGACAAGCCGTCCCAGGCATGTTGATAAAGGACGGAAGCAAATCACAAAATGATAGTAAAAAAGAAAATGTTTGTGTTTGCCTGCGTTTGATGAGAAAGGAGGGCCCACACCTCCACGTGGGGCTTTCACTCTGCTGCCTCTCTTCTGTCTGGAGGGCTTAAAAAAAAAAATAACTTAGAGTTATTCCTTTTCTTGTGAAATGTAACAATGGATTTTGGAATGTGTCAAGCCCCTTGGCCAGAAAGTCCCTGTGCCTGGTGGGGCCAGCGCCAACCCCTTTCCCAGAGCCCTTTGCGGCAGCCCAGGCCTGAGTTGTTTGTGTGATGTGTGTCTCCTTCTAGAAGACCAGCTGAGCAGGGCTGTGCTCAGCGGGGCTCTGGTGTTGCTGGAGGAGGCCTGAAGTGGGCCTCGGTGCTAATAATGGTAATGCTTGCCCGTTGAGATGAACGGCCCCAGAGGGTTCCCTTGGCCTGTGCCTTCTGCTATCCGTGCTACACTCAGAGCTGGAACACTACTGGCCCACGGTCACACATCCGAGAGGGCAGAGCCTGGAGCCAAACCCAGGCTGTGGGGGCCCAGCTTGAGCTCTCCCCAGACCGTGTAGGGCTCTCCCCAGCCAAGACCTCTGCCTGCCCAGCAACCCACTGGCCTGTCACCTCCTGTGTCAGCTCAAGCCAGTGTGAGCAGATGACTCCACCTGCCTTGGGGGGGGGG